TTCTTTTTTTTTCAGAAATACTGCACATTTACATTTTTCTCCTAAATAAATTCTGGTAAATAATATTTCTGGTAAATACTCCTTTAAAAAGTGTTATTTGATTATAATTTTATTATTAGTAGACTAGAACACGTGGATGTGTTGTCATTCTTACACTATAATACTGAACTTTGATTTCAGTGATTTGGACTCTGAGATGGACACTTGCTTCTGGCACTTTATAACAAATATCATTTTTGTGTTCTTATTTGCTCCAATAGCAAAAGAACATAATCCAACATCCATAATAGCAATTCTATGCCTTAACATACATGCAACATGGCAATAAACAGTTTTGATTTCATGCCGACTTTAAAGGAATAATCCACCCAAAACTGCTCGTTCGCTCAGATCACTGTCCACTGGAAAAGAGCAGCAGGAACATTCTGACAAGCATCTGATTTTGCGCTTCACTGAACTCAGTAACTGATGACCGAGTGATGAATTTTTGAGTGATCTGTCTGGTTCCTGGGACGTTTCTGCTCGGAACAAAATGGACACATGCAGCAATTTCATATTCCTTTCTCTCCTGTCGTGTTTTTTTGGTAGGATTTACCGCTAACAAACCTAATTGGCATAAACAGCAATTAGCTTCAGCCATGATTCTTTAAAGGCGACATATCATGAAAATCTGACTTTTCCAGGTGTTAAGTGCTATAATCAGGTCCCCGGTGCATCTACCAACCAAGGAAACGTGAAAAAGATTAACCCAGTCACTTTGTTTTGGGAAGCCTTTTTCTGCAAGCGTCTGAGAAAACGAGAGCGTCTGATTTCGCTCCCTTGGTGACGTGGCAAAGGGATCTCATTATAATATTACCGCCCCTTCATCTGTAAGTTTACACCCAAGGCACCGTCATTGTGTTTTCACAAGAGACAACGGTGTATTAGTTCTAATGCCATGATGAAAGTTTGAGCAAAACATGCTAACTGTTCTGTGTTTGGCTGCACAGACGAGCACACAACACTGTTTAGAGTCCCAGCCTCAGAGACAACAGAGCAGTGCATTTATTGATTTATTTACTGTATATTGCTGCTGCCACACAGATCTAAAATAAACATGCGATTGATTTCCCGGCAGTTTACCTTCACAGACATAACCAACTGTTTTTTATAACTCGTGTGTTTTTAACGTAAACTTGTGTGTGAATGAGAACTTAAGTTTAGTACTCATGCTGTGACAGCCGCTTTCTGTCCGCGTGCTTCGGATGTGTGCTCTCAGAAAACCAACCAAAACAGATGTTTTTAGCAGGTCCGAGCTGTAATGGCGCAGCTCTATTCTGGAAAAGGGGGCGGGGAGCAGCAGCTCATTTGCATTTAAAGACACAGGCCCGAAAAACAGCGTGTTTCTGCTTCCACTCAAAATAGGCATTTTCAAAATGATATAATAAATGATCTGTGGAGTATTTAGAGCTGAAATTTCACAGACACATTCTGGGGACACCAGAGACTTATATTACATATTGTAAAAAGTGGCATAATATGTCTCCTTTAAATGATGTCCTGAAGTCAGCGCTGGTAATCCGACCCTGATGTGGTGCTCAGATGTTCTCATCTCATCAGCACCATTGTCCTCACGTAACTCAGTATCTGATTTCAGAGCGGCGAGAAGAATGATGGGAGATTTTTAACATGGCTTCAATTATGCTGCAGAAATTTCCTACTTTCCACAAGTCGTAATTATGAGTTTCAAGCGCTTTGTCATCGGACAGAAAGGAATCATGGCAGACGCCAGGTCTGTTCCAGCCTATTTCTTTAAGAAATCGTATTAAAGGCAAAGTGTATAAGAGATATTTAGTCAATATCCAATGGTTTTTGAATAAAATGTAGCGTCCCATTTGTTAACAAAGATTAATATAAACATTAACCACACTATCTAGACTGTCAATTTTGACCAAATTAATGCTGTTGAAATAAACTGATATATAGGCTCAGACAGAAAATACGAGTAAGACATAAACAAGGCAATGAGCAAAACACACTTACATGAGGTTGTATTTAAACTCTCAGTGTTCAAAAAAAAGTGTGATTTCATCTCTTCATACTAAAATCTGCATATATTTTCCCAATAATGTAGCGGAGTACAAATGGATATATTATTAATAATCTTATCATTTTTCTACTGTATAATCTTAAAAAATAAAACAAACATATGTCTATCGTTTGGATCTTTTTAATTTTATATACTATTTTTAGTAATGAAATTCGCACATGCTTTGCAACATTTCTGTAGAAGGAGCAAACTAAAAAAACCAACCCACACAAAACATGACTAAAACAACGACCTGAAAATACATGCAGAACACACTCACACTCACACACACACACACTCACACACACACTCACACACACTCACACTGTGAGTTTTATATACTAACTGTGATGAAAAACTTTCTGTATTTTTATAATAAAAAACTTTATTTTTTATGAGTTTTAAAAAGGAGGACATCCCCAAAATATGATTAAGTAGGCATACACACACACACACACACAATTACATCTTAGACGTCTCTACGGGGACATTTTGTCAGATTTAGTTCACTTCTGAAGACAAATATGCCCCTAAACTAGTTAGTCAGTAAACCCACTTTTACACACACACACACACACACACAGACACACAAACACACACACTCAACATATACACACACACACACACTCACACACACACACACACACACACACACACACACACAAAAAAATGATTGGAGAATGTTTTACAAGAAAACACCATTTCAGTCTGTCTGCTTCGAAACCTCATGTTTAATTCAGTGTGTTACTTGCCATTTCTTTGTAATTATTTGTGAAAATTATTCACAATTTCTGAGTGAAATTTTTTAAAATGAAAATGTTTTCCACCAATTTCTTCCGACCTTATACAATAGGGTTATCATCGTCAACTTAAACTAAAGCTATTAAAAACACTTTTGCTTAAATTAAGCTTAAATAAAATAAACATAAATATTAGAAATATTAAAATAAACAACATTAGAAATGAAATAACTGAATACGTTCAAGCAGAAGCACTAAAATGACTAATCAGAAAAAAGTAAAAACTTAAACTAAACTAAAAGAAATCAAACCCAAGTAATATTACAAAAAAAATACATAAAAATGACAAAAGCACATTAAGTTACTGAAAAAGAACCTATTAATAAAAACTTAAATAATTCAAAATAACTATAAATGCATGTTACCTGCACTTGAACTTAAGCTAACTCAATCAACATGACTGAATATATTCTCAGCAGACACATGGTGCGTCCCAAATCGCATACTTATGCGTTTTGTAGTATAAATAGCGCGAGTAGTGCGTTCACGCTGAAAAATCCAAAAATAAAAAGTGCACTTTAAAAATCCTGATGATGCACTTAAATAACCGAAAAAACCAAGTGTGGAATGTTGGACACTTCATGCACTCAACTGTCGCGAAGGGGGAGGGGCTATCAGACTACGATTATTAATGACAAAATAACTTCACTACATGGTTGAGTACATAGTGCGTAAGTGCATAGTGCGTCATTTGGGACACAGTTACACTGTATCTCAAATGCACTACGTTCCACATGAGCGACGAACGAAGCGGCAATAACAAAACTTGCAACGTTTTTAAACTAACCTGGATTAAACATGCAAATGAAGGGTCAGAGATGATAAATGGATGCAGTATGCAGTGCACTATCTAGTACTCACAGGTTGTCGGAATGGCTGTGTAGGGGCAGTGGGCGGAGCTTCCATGCTTCTCTGCCGCGACGTGGCAAAGCTCTTCCTGCGAGCACGAGCGTGCTCTGAAACACAACACACACAGAGAGATGATTATTCGCTTAGAGTCCACAGAAACACACACACACAGGGCTGCTGTCAGTGCTTTGTGGTGATTCATCCCTCAGGACAGCAAACCTTTACAGAACTTACATTCCTGCTGCTATAAATACACACACGCTGCCTCCATCTCTGCATCGCTGTCTCTTCAGTCCCACAGATTCATAATGCGGCTCTCGGTATAAGTGCAGCAGAAATAAAGCCAGAGGGTTCATGGAAACACAAGTTCACCGTCGAGGATTGATTTGTTCGCTCTCCATCTACTGTGGAAACCTCCGCCCGCTCCACTCAGACGTCGGTAATACCTGGGGATCTGGATGCGTTCGACTCGGCGCCGCTTTCTCTCTGAAAGCACTTGACCTGCCACTTCTAGATCTGACTCTCGCATCTGAAACATTTCAGTGTCAAACCACTGAGCCGTAATAACCAGATAACGTAGGCTACCTCCACCCAATCAGTTAAGGCCCGTTCACACCAACGACGATAACTATTAGGGCTGTCAAAAAAATTTGGGAATTTCAAATATTCATCGAATATAAAATACAAATCTACAACGTTTTTGCATTCAAAGTTTAGGTGTTCGTCAGGCAGCCTTATCAGCAACACACGAGATGTGATGACGATATAGGTGTCGTTGCATTTGAATGCTTTTTTTAGCCTGTCCAGTTGAAGCCACTGGATGCGGCGCTGCTATGTTGTTCTTTCAAAATATTATAGAGAACATCAATGCGGAGAAGATGTAGTTTACATCAAAACTGAAACCAAGCCGTTCACACAGAACGCATTTTTATCACATTTTCTAGACATCTATCAGCGTTGCACTCGCGTCTCGCAGAGAGCGGCATGTTTAGAAAGTCATTTAAAATTAATGCAAGTTCAACTTTTGAAAAAAGCAGTGGTGGGCCGATCAGAATCACTGACTTAGTTTTAATATATTTTTCAATGAATGTGTATTCTAGGGCTGCAACTAACGATTATTTTGATAATCGGTTAGTAGGTAGAATTTTTTTTTTTTTTTTTTTTTTTTTTAAAAAAAAAAAAAATGTCCTTAAAACAAACGTTCCAACTGAATGCTATGAAAACATATAGTGCTTAACAATTTATTAGACCACCTGCCATAATAAAGAGAAAACACATTTTAGGAATCTGTCAAAAAAATTGTTTAAATCAAAAAAAAACATTTTGGCAAATAAACTTAAACAACTAAATAGTATTTATTGACATAAAAAATACCTCCTATGCCCTTCATAACAGCTTGCATTCTTGCTGGCATTGTTTATGCACTTTTTTTTTACTGTAATTGGTTATCTGAAAAAAAAAAAACACTATAAAGTTTTCTGCCTTTCTTTCATAGATAACAGCAATAATTATATTATAGTATTAGAAACAGCCTACTACTGTTACTTAAAGAGCTTACACATACTGGAGGACTAACCCATACAGAAAGCTAAAAAATGCTTCTGGTAATCACCAGTACTGTTAGTTTAGAGCAGCAGTGGCACAAACCATAATTTGTTAAAAACCTTACATAAATTTGTTAAGCATTGTATATAGTGAACATGGGCGACATTAGGGGCAATTGCCCCCCCTCCAAATTGTCAGTCATGGAATCCCTGATGTCGGCCCCGCTGCAATTGGAGCGCTTAGCCAAGCGCTAAATACCCTCACCAAGTTTTTGCAGCGTTGAGCAATGTAACCAATCACAGACATATCTGTTGATTTCTTGAACGCAATGGCCAATCAGAAACATTTTGTCAGAATTCACTCACCGCTGAAAGCGCGCGGTTTTTAAGTGCAGTCTTGCACGCTCGTGAATAATCTCATGACTAAGTGCAGACGTGATGTAAATAAGAGATTCATTGTGCAGTTTAGAGAGCTTCATTGATTATAACAGAACTTTGTAAGATCGCGTTGAGCGAAGATGAGTGACGCTTTTTAGTGATAAAGGGAGCACGCTTTGCGCACTTTCTAGGGTATAATCCATTCAGAATATGAAACTTTCGTTTTTCGGACACATAGGTTACATCCTGCAAAGTTTCGGGAATGACATCCGCATATTTATGCGGGATTCACTCTCGAAATGGCAGTGATTGGCAATGGACGGAACATAAAATATGTTGATTTAATTCTGGAATCGGTCCTGGCCAAACCTCCACAGACCGTGCGCGTCCCGAGCGAGATCTAATTCACTGACCAAAAGCGTGTGTAAACTTTATTGAGATCGGGACAAATCAACCAGAAATTTAATTTCATTTCCAATAACGGTCGTTAGAAAGTTCAGCAATGAATGGTATGTGATTTACGACAGAATATAGAGTCGTTTAATATTTTATGCAACACAGTAGGGAAAAAAAAGTGTCAGAGAAAATAAAAATGTACAAAAATTGTATTTCTTATT